CTGTATTCTCTGAAAGAGTTTACCTAAGATTGTTCTTATTTCTTTCTTCAGTTTTGATAGAATGCATAAGTGAGCTGACCTGGGCCTGGAGCTTTCTTTGTAGAAGGATTTCTTTTTTCTTTCTTCCTTTTTTTTTTTTTTAAAGATTTTTATTTATTTATTTATTCATGAGAGATACACACACAGAGAGAGAGAGAGGCAGAGACACAGGCAGAGAGAGAAGCAGGCTACATGCAGGGAGTCCGACATGGGACTCGATCCCGGGTCTCCAGGATCACGCCCTGGACTGAAGGCGGCGCTAAACCGTTGAGCCACCCAGGTTGTCCCTGTAGAAGGATTTCGATGATTCATTTCAGCACAGCGGTGTCCAGACATTTTGGTCTCAGGACCCCTTTGCACTGGGACACCGAGTAGGAAAAGTAGCACTGTTTTGCACGTTTCCAGGTCTCTGTAATGTCTTAGAGGACAGCTGGAGGGACTCTCCATTTCTGCTTCTGCTCTCAATTTGGTCAAATGGGTTTTTTTAGCTGAAGTACATGAAGAAAATCTAGCCTCGCACCAGTATGCATGTGAGAGGCCGGGCCCTCAGATAGTCGCAGGCCACTTTTGAGCCTACACCAAAACTCAGCCAGTGGGGCCTCTTAACAGCTGCCAAGTCAGGATGCTGTTGTAATACTCTTACATTACAGCTCGCTGGTCCATCTTGAATCTTTTACACACACATCATTTTATAACAGTAAGTTGCTCATCTGGAAAATACGGCTTCACTGAATTAGCAAATGTTAACATGTTTCATTATAGAAATCAAAAAATCCTGTTTGCTGGTATCACCATCAACCTCATCAGAAAAGTCTTTAGGTTTTGAGAGGATGTCCAGCTCTTGGTGGCTGATACCTAAGGTTTCTGAAATTCTTCTTGTGAAAGCTCCCATTCTATCCTGAGTGAAAACACGGCCCATTACTATTTTCCTTGAAGTGGTGGCCACCTTTGTTCATTTCTGAGAAAACATCTGCCACAAACCCAGGCCTGAGTAAAACCACAACTGAACTTCAGTCACGTTTCCAAAGATGGTGTCCCGTGCGGAAGGGACGAGTTGAGCTCACACTCTGCACTGGTGTGCTCCCTCATCTCTGCCCACACTTGGTATTATGGGCCTTTAATGCCCACGGTCCCAGTGGGTGCAGAGCGAAGTCTCTATGTGGCTTGAGTGTACCCTCTCAGGGACTAGCAGCGTTGAGCCCCTTGTCATATGCTTATCTCCTCCTCTGAGTGTCCGAATCATCCCCCATTGTTTTGTGCAGGGTTTGTCTTCTTCCGTTGCTTGTGGCCCTTGTGAATTTCAGGTACTTTTCTGTGACTGGCAGATGCCCTGCCAGTGTTTTCTGCCCATCTGTGGGAAGTCCTCTTCTATCTCTGTGTCCTCTCCCTATGGAACTCCAATTATCTGTGTAGATTGTGTCTTGGCTCAAATGATTCTCTTTTCTCTCTTTTCATTTTCCAGAATTTTTTCTGATTTTTATATTTGGCCCTTGCTTTTGCTTCAAGTTCACGAGTCTTGGACAGTATCCACTCTGATGCTGCTCCTGTCCCTACTTTTCACCAGGCATTAAAACTTGCCCTTCTAGTAGGCTCTGGATCGTGTCCAGTTAGTCTCTATGATTTTTCTTGTCTTTCGAGTGTAGGTCGTGGTTTTTCTGTTGCTTCTTACATCCAGCAATTCTTTTATGTCCCGGACACTGTGGACAAACCAGTGTTGAGACTCTGGATTCTGTTATGTTCCTGCAAAGAGGATATTCCTTCCTTCCTTCCTTCCTTCCTTCCTTCCTTCCTTCCTTCCTTCCTTCCTTCCTCCCTCCCTCCCTCCCTCCCTCCCTCCCTCCCTCCCTCCTTCCTTCCTTCCTTCCTTCCTTCCTTCCTTCCCCTCAACTTAGAGTCCTAGCTCTCCCCCGTGGCAGCCAATGGCAGGACTCGCTGCTCAGTACATTAGCTTGGGTGGGACTTGAAGTCAGCCCCCATCACTCTTAATTTTGCCAGATTCTTTGCTGTCTTGTTTGGATCCTATAGAACTTAGCAATCTTAACCTAAAAGAAAGAAACAGATTTGTGAGTGGAGAGGAGGTAGGCACACCTAAGTGTCCTCTGATGGGGAAAGAAGGTGCCTGTTCATGCTCCACATCTCCCACTGCCCCCTCACATTCACCTAGCCACTGCCACCATGCCAGAGCCCAGCCCTGATGCCCTGACCCTAGACAGTGGGTGTCCTCAGCGGCCAAGACAGCCAGGAGCATTTCTGTGTTCATCACCCTTCATCTGTCTGATGACCACGCCTTCCTTCTGGAAACTGCTGCCTTGCCCATTGTGAAACCAGCTCTGCACATGGGGGGGGGGGGATACGCCCCATGCCATGGTACAGCGCCGTGGTCTCTGGCAGCTCCTTGCTTCTCCATCCCCAGCCCTGAATTCCACTTGCTCCCCGCAGCTCCAAGCCTTGGCTGTGATCCACTTTCCTATGTCCTGGGCACAGCACCTGGCTCACAGCAGCCAGTCTCTTCCTGTGTGGGTGCCCCTTCTCCCCCGCTTGAGAGCACCAGGGGCTTGCACTCTGCCCATCCTCCATCCTTCCAACAACCATAGCTTTTCTGTGTTCATCTTTTTCTCTTACTTTTCGTATCTTAGTTCTGTCTGCCCAAAATAAAATTGCTCTGGAAATTTTTATCACCGTTAAGAATCATTAAGATCTTAATGATAATCTTATCATTCCTTGTGTAAAAAAAAAAAAAGTTGAACTCCTAGAAATTTTAATCACATCTGAACTAATATAAAGTGTACTTTGGCAGTAAGCCTTAGAAACCACATGAGACCTGCTCCTCTCCTCATGCTTAGATGTGGGCAGGTAAAGCAGGCATGGACACGTGTGGGCAGGTATAGGCAAGTGTGGACACGTGCAGGTAAGTGTAGGCAGATGTGAGCCAGACAGCAGGTGTGGGCAGGGGTAGGCAGATGTGAGTCGGGACAGTGCGTGTGGTCAGGCATGGACAGGTGTGGGCAGATGTACGGCAGCACAGCAGGTGCAGGCAGGCATTGGCATGTGTGGACAGGTGTGGGCAGGTATAGGCAGATGTGAGCCAGCACAGCAGGCATGGGCAGGTGTGGTCAGGTATAGCAGGCATGGGCAGGTATGGGCACACACAGGCAAGTGTGGACACATGCAGGCAGGTGTAGGCAGATATGAGATGGCACAGCAGGTGTGGGCAGGCATAGGCATGTGTGGACAGGTGTGGGCAGTGTGGGCAGATGTAAGTGTGGTGCTCTGTGGGAGGCTCAGGCTATCCTGCCTTGGATCCCCCGACCCCAGCCTCTCCCACTTATGCCCACTGGCAGAACCAGAGAAATTTCCACAGGAAAACCCCGGACAGTACCATGGTTTACTTCCTTAAGTTCAAGAATCACACAGATATGGGAAGCCTGGGTAGCTCAGTGGTTGAGCACCTGCCTTTGGCCCAGGGCATGATCCTGGAGTCCCAGGATCGAGTCCCACATCGGGAACCACACAGATAAGTTCCTTTTTTTTTTTTTTTTTAATTTATCTATTCATGAGAGACAGAGAGAGAGAGAGGCAGAGACACAGGCAGAGGGAGAAGCAGGCTCCCCACAGGGAGCCCGATGCAGGACTGGATCCTGGGACCCTAGGATCACGTCCTGAGCCCAAGGCAGACGCTCAACCGCTGAGCCACCCAGCGTCCCGCACACATTAAGTTCAATCACAGGCCCACCTAGCTGGGGTAGATGTGATGCTCTGTCAAAGTAAGCAGGACAGACCATTTACATACTGCCGCCTGCCCTGCCACCCGACAGGCAATCTCCAGAGTGAATGCATCCTTCCTTTAGGTCTCCCTGGGTGCGTCCAGGTGAGCAGATCTACAGGGAGCATGGCCCCCAAACACTTGGGTCCTTGTACACAGGCCGCTCACAGGACTTCCCAGGGAAGCTGGCTGTACCTACTCAGCTGCGAGTGCTGATCACAGCCGACAGCACGGACGGTCAGAGCCTGAACTTTGGACACCACCAGCCCTTGGAAAGGCTGGGCGGTCACAACCAGTTGCCCCCAGGTCCCTCTTGTGAAGCCATCCTCCTCATGGCCTCGGGGGTGGGCGCCCAGTCCAGGACCAAGGGGGCGAGCTCTGGGGTTTTCGCTGTGAACTAACCTGGTAACGGCTGTCCCGACACAGGCCTACAAGTATCTGGAGGAGATGCAGAAGCGAGTGCCCTCTGCCAACATGTCCTACTACGTGAACCAGCGGACTGTGGACGCCGTGCACCAGGGCCTGGGCATCCCTCTCATGCGCACTGTGCCGGAGCGGGTCCACCACAACAGCGCAGAGGACCATAAGGAAGTGGATGAAGAGGTGCTGGAGGAGGTGGAGAACGACCCCTGAGAGCCACTGCCTTCAGCTCCTTTGGAACTTTCCAGGGTTCATAGCAAGAGCCCGACTTTCTTGTTGAAATAAAAACTTGGGTTTGACGCTCCAGGGCCCTGGCCACCCTGCTTAGAAGGGGCCAGTGTATGTCCTTCTGGCATCCTGGCCTCTGAGGTCCCTTTACTATGAAGGGTGTTGTCCCATTTTTTTCCATGACAGTCTCCCAAGTCTCCCAGATTATAAAGCCTAAAAAACTAGAACTCGATGTTAGCATATCACTGTGCCTCGTCCCCAGCACATGGCAAGCGCCTAAGCACACTTCTGAGTTTCCAGCAGGACGCACACATAGGGGAGGGGAGGCTCTGCTCAGGTGACATGGTGACCAGTCGGGGGCCAGGGCCTTCACAAGGCAGCCTCACGCAGCAGTGTCACCAGCTCCCGCTGAAGGGCCGGCCTTGTGGCGGGTCAGAGCCAGGTGGGACCTTCCCACCCCAGCGCCTCCCAGCAGCCTCCAGCACCTGTGTCCCTGCGGACCGTGCCAAGCAGCTCAGAGCCCTGAGGCATGGGATTGAGCACCTGCAGCTTTTTCTTCTCCTTTTTTATTTTTTTAAAAGTCTCCTGCATTTGGGTGAGGAAGGGGCTTGGGGATGGAGAATCAGCCCGCAGGGGCCCCAGCAGCTCCCTCCCTCCAGGGATGCACCGCGGGGGCAGTGCCGGAGGCCCTGGCGTGGACCACTGCTGGAGCACTCAGGCTAAGGAGGCGTCAGCGGGAGGAGTGTGTCTTTGAGCTTCTCCAGGAGCAGTAGTGCTTTCACAGCCAGCACCCTGCAGTCCTCGTCAGAGTCCTGCTCCGCCACATCTGCCAAAGACGAAAAGAAAGTGGGCCGCAGCAGTGTCACACGGCTGGGCAGGCCTGCCGTCTGCGGTTTCCTCAGGGAAGTCTTCCTGCACAAGCTCATGGGGCCCCGCGTGGCCCGGCGATCCCCACCCCCTCCCTGTGGAAGCAAAGGGCTTTATTCTGTCCCTTTGCGGGGGCAACGTCCCACTCCCGCTGCAGCGATGGTGGCAGGGAGGCAGTGGGATGGAAGAGACCCACTGTCTCCGTGGGGAGGGCACATGTGCCCAGGACAGTGCGACCTGTCCCAGGACGCAGGACGCTGCCACACATCGGCAGCACTGCCCACAGCCGTCCTGACACGTGATCAGAGCCCCATTGAAGGGCGCTCTGCAAACCCACCAACATGACAAAAGGGGCCCGGGATGACCTGCACTGCCCTGCCTGGACCCAGGTCCGGTAGAAAAGACAGAAATAGGCCCTCATCAGACCCTGGGCATCCACACGGGGCAGCAGGTCAGACCCTAGAGTCCCGGCCATGAGCCCCGGGGGTAGAAATGCGTGTGCTGCTCTGGACAACTCCAGTGCCTGCAGACGGGAGGTCACGCTAGCTCCAAGAATGTTGACGGGGGCAAGTGTCAGAACACTCACCGGCCGACCTGGTTCCATGGTGCTCGCTGTATGGTTCTTGAAACCGTGACGAAGTGTTGGAATTTTCCACAAATACAGACCTCATCCCCCACCTTAGAACGCCTTCCCTTGCCCCCCCCCACCGCACAACCCCCCAAAGCAACCCAGTAACAGCCACGTCCCCATCCCCTGCCAGGGGCCGCTTCGTGCGCAGACAAGGAGCAACAGGACAGCCCCAAGGCCTCTGCCATCCCCATGCCCTGGCCCATGACGACGCTCCGGGCCGCACCAGCCTCCTCCCGCCTGCCTCGCCAACACAGCTGGGGGCCCGGTGTTCACCCGCCAGCCAGGGCCGGGCTTCCAGCAGCTCGTCTGGCAGGTCAGTCAGCAGCCGAGCAGTCGGAACGCTGAGCAGGACAGCGGAGACCGCAGACAACAGGCCTTGGCGCACGTAGCTGAAGGCAGGAAGGCCGAGTCCTGACGGAGCCCCGGGCCACAGAGACCCCACATCTGCTCAGGGTTACGGCAGACCCACAGGCCACCAAAGCACACCCAACCCCACCCTCCCCTTCCCACTCACAAAGTACCAGGCCAAGCTAGGATCGCCCCCGCCTCTGCCATCCACATCACAGCAGGATTTGGAACCCCATCTCTGTCCACATGGGACCACTGCCCTCAGCCCCACAGCCACTCACGCATCACCGTGGAAACGAAGGGTCCACACAAATTCCAAGAGGGCCTTGCCCATGGGCACAGCCACCTGAAAGAGCAGAGGCCATGGGCAGAGGTTGTGGCATCCAGAGATCCCCACCCTGGAGCCTGTGCTGCATCCCAGGTGAAGCTGCCACTTCCAACTCACCGTGGTGTTCACAGCCAGGTACATCAGGGCTCCTAAAGTGTGGGCCAATCTCCCAAGGACCAGTTGGTCCTCTCCCAAAAGGTCAAAGGTCACCAGAGGCCTAAAACAGAATCCTGTAATGTGCAGGCTGGGCCCTCGGAGCTGGCTCCCAAGACCTGGGCCACCGAGGGACACCCAGTACCCAGACCCTCCTCACTGCCTGTCCCTGGGCAGCACCCAGAGCCACGTGAGGTGTTGGACAGACGCAGCGTGGCCCCTGCCCGCCAGCCAGAACCCACCACCTGTGACAGGCTGTGGCTCCGGACACCCTCACTTCATCATTTAAGCTTTAGACGGCCACCACCCAGATCGTGACCCGCTGCTGGGACCGCAGACCCCACCCCGGGAAGCCACTCGTCTACAGGGATGTGCAGGCCTCCAGCTCACCTGTCAAAGTGCTGAATGAGGGGGAAGAAGAACCAGCCAGCTACCAAGCTGAATTCGTTGGGGCCAGCATCCGGTCCCCGCCGGGCAGAGCCCTGCAAACATACGGTGCTCACAGGCGCCAGCCCTCCCCCCGTGCGGGACTCGGCTGTGGGCACCCAGCCATCCTATGTGCCGCTGGGGGTGAGTAGCACCCGCCCCCCATGACAGCCTGGCCCGAGTGGACCCTGATGACACAGCACACACCCCGTCACTTCTTGCTGACCTAGAATCTCTAGGGCCTTTTTCACACTGACGTGCACAGTCACGTTTTGAAACCACTCCACTTTGAAGCCCCATGGCACCTGTCCCATCGCTCAGTTTGTACCCAAACCCCCTTCACAGGAAGGACCCTAGTGTGGGCGCCTATCCTGGTCCCGACTTGGCCTTGCTCAGTGCGGGCGGCAGCTAGAGGTCACTGAGCACGAGGACCTGACCGGGTCCTGGCTGACCTGAGAGAACCGCCGGGTCTTGTTTCTGATCCGCTCTTCCACAACCACCCGCCAGGCGGGAGCCTCGGTGGTGCTGCTGGACGGGGAGGCGGGACTCGGGGAGCCGACCTGGGCAGCCTTGGGGAGGCGCCCTGGCCGAGACAGCTCCTGGGCCGCCAGGGTCAGGACCTAGAGGAGGGGGAAGACCAGGACATTGTCACTGCTCTAGGGAGGCATGGTACTTTCTAACACTCCGGGTAAGCCAAGTACCCTTGAGCCCTCCGCTCCCTGGGCAGTCGGCCCTCACGGGCGGCACGGAGGACGCTCAGGGACCACGCAGAATGTCAGTTCCAAGCATCACAGGATCACTTCACGCGTGTGCGGACAGGAGGGAACGTGGCCGTGCTCCCTGGCAACAGCCCAGCGGCCTTGCTCCTGCACCCAGAGCCCCTTCTAGTCCAGAACCTCATCCAACCTGGCGCCCAGCCACCTGGGAAAGGGAATGAAGTTCTGACCCAGACTGCACACGGATGGGCCTAGAACAAGTGCAGGAAGCACTAGCAGGGTGGCAGAGAGCAGCCTGGTGCTTGCAGGTGCCAGAGCACAGGAGTGTGCGCCAGGGGCTGTTCCTCTGAGGGTGACACAGGATGTAGTCACACGACACTATCCAGGCACCAAGTGCCACTGAACTGCAAGCACCGAGATGGTGACCTGTGTGGTGCCATCTCTGTCTTCCTGTTTCACCACATAAGATGCACACACTGTCACACTTGCCGTCCTGACTGTTGTGCGTGCCCAGCTCAGCCGCAGCACGTCATTCACATCACGTGGCCATCGCAACCATCTCCCAAACTGGAGCACGGTCTCCGTGAAACACGCCCTTTCCACCATCTACTTCCTGTCTGTATTTTTTTTTTTCTGTCTGTGATTTTGATGACCCTAGAGACCTGCCTCTCGTGACCACCTTTTCCCACTGAGCAGTGTCCGGTAGGTTCACCCACACCATGGCAGGTGTTAGAACGTCCTTTGTTTGTAAAACCAGATAACGTTCTGTCACATGGACGGGGAATCGTACGGCAAGGGAATTTGTCTTAATAAACCTTTTGTCTGAGGCAAAGGACATAGCCTCCACGGAGTCCCACGCACTGCTAAGAAAGCCCCAGACAGGTGCCAGTCCCAGCCCCTTGGGTCCAGCAACAAGGGACCAGGGGAGGCCTCTGGTTCCGACCACGTGGCTTGTGGCAAGTACCCGCTCCCCTCCCCTCACGAGGGCCGCTTGGGCCTGGCAAGTGGGACACGGGGCCCGAGCACTTACGTCCAGGATGTCCATGCGCTGCCGGAGGCTGAAGTTGATGGCGTAGAATTGTGAGGTCAGATACTCCGCTACCTAAGCCAGGCACGCGAGAGGCTGCTATGAGCCGCCACTAGGGTCAGGCCCCAACGCAAACGCCGCCCGGGCGGCAGGACCATAGCACCGCCCCGGGGACTCACCGGGGCCGGGTCTGTGACCACGACTGCCACTAGGGCTCGCTGGCGCAGCCCCTCGAACCCCACCACGCTCGTCTTCTCCTCCAGATGCAGCAGCACCTTGGCCAGCTCCACGCTCACCTGCACGCAGGGGTCAGAGGCCTCAGCCCCCGCCTGCCCTGGGCCCCCGCAGCCCTCTGCCTCCCCGTCCCAGCCATGGGCCTCCCGGCCAGACACACGACCACTGAGGCACATGCCCCTCTTCGACATCACCTGCCCCACTCACCTCACGAGTGGCGGCTGGGGTCCTGACGATCAGCCCCTCAACAGCTTGCAGAGCTGCCTCCCAGCGCTCCCAGTCCTCCGAGGAGGTCAGGGCTGCACAGAACAGACGGGCCTGCGCTGGTCCTCAGCCCTGACCTCGTGCAAGGCAGAGCTGGCGGCCAGGGACTGGGCACAGGCCATTCCCGCGGTGCAGCCACCCCAGGGCAAGCGCTCGGCGGGGCTCCCGCGGGGGAAGGGGCCCACCTTCCACACAGTCCCGGAGGTAGGCAGGCGCCTTACTGCTCTTCAGCTCTTGGTCCCCGGACATGTCATAGGGGACAAGGTCGTCGTCACTGAGGAAACAGCAGAGGCCCGTGGGGCCTGCCCGTCACCCAGGGGCAGGCAACAGGCGGGCCGTGCTCCTGACTCACTGGAATTCACCCCAAGTCCCTGAAGCCTCAGGAGCCGCAGACTTTGCTATCAGGGTGCTCGCAGAGAGCAGCAAGGCTGCAAGGCTGACCCGCAACCTCCAGACAGTGTGGGCTGTCCACTCCCATGCTCGCGTGTGTGGGGCTCTGAGGCCAGCCCAGGGCTGCTCCCCCATCTGCCATTTCCACCTGAGATCAGCCCCTACCTGTCCAGGTCAGAGCCTGCGCCCTCCGCCTGGGCCGGAACACCACCACCTTCCGTGCTCCCTCTGTCAGGAGCCTCTGCAGCCACTGGAGCAACAGCCGGGCTTTGGAGAACAAAGAAGGAACCCTAGGGGAGGCCCCACACAAGCTTCTGGCCCCAGGCAGTGCTTCCCCTGCCCCCACCCGATGCTTCTTTACTCGAGTCTCAGCAACTGGAGCCCAGGATAAGGTAAGGGAGTAGCATGCGCGCAGGAATGGGCCCTGCCCGGCCCCCCGAGCCCAGAGCGCAGGGACCATGGGGCTTAGGGACCCTCACCTTGCTTTCAAGGGGCTGTCAGCCGCAGGCTGGGTCGCCACCAGGGCCAGCAGCTCTCGGCTCAGTTCATCATCTTCATACTGAAAGGCACACAGGCTGGAGCTGGCGGGGGCAGTGATGAGGGGGCAGGCCCAGGGCCCCCAGAGCCTCCGCCACAGCCCACAACTTCACGAGTCTCCGCACAACAGCAGGCAGCGCTGGATGTGCAAGGTCAGGGGAGCCCACCCTCCAGAGGGGCTGGAATCCCGAGACATCCCAGGGGTTCAGCAGGTGGACAGGAAGGGACGCCTGTCCACTGTGTCTAAGTCCTACCCAGAGAGAACACTTCCAGATGCCCCAGGGAATCCACCTGGGGGCATGTGTTCAGGACCTGCTGAGGGGCTATGACCCTGTCCCCTTGGGGCCACCAGGGCTAGTTCCATGCCAACACGCAGGTTTGTGGGCCCCGGGCAGGGAGACACTGAGGGTGCAGGCCTTGTTCACCTGGAACCTCAGGGGAGGGCCCTCGGGGTGGATCCGGGCACTGGCTACTTCGGCCACAATCATGCCCAGGTGGCGCACGGCAGGCAGGCTGCTGTCCAGGCGACTCTTCACTCCCGCCATGAGGCTGGCCAGCAGCTCTAGAAGCAGTGACACCCACAGGCTGAGTGCTGCGGACGTGCTGGGCAGGGCGGGCATGGGGCCAGGTGCCCATGTCCTGCTCACCATCCCGGCTGTCCCGGAGCTCTGCCTCCCGCAGGTGCACCAGGCAGATGAGGACAGCCTTGCTGACGTAGCACTGCTGAGGCAGAGGTGTGTGGCGGATGGCACTGCTGCTGCCCCACGTCTCCAGGAGCTCCTTCAGCGCCTGGTGGGCGGCATGGCCCGGCCCGGTTAGACAGCTCCACCGACCTCCCCAGCACGGCATGGGACCGCGTGGCCCTCGGCACCACCGTCCTCGCCCGCGGCCAGCCCGAGAGGGGCTCTGTTCCAGGCAGGAGTGTTGGGAGTGGCAGGGATGGTGGGCCGGGCCGCGCTCACCTGTACAAGGAGTGGGCGCCGTTGGCTGTCCATGGCCAGGTACCCCAGCAGGCTCTGTAGCATGGGTGTCTGTGACAGATGCCGGGCACCATGTTACCATATACCGAGCCAACACCCACTGGCCACGTGATGGGCCGAGGATTGTCTGGCCGGGGGCCCCAGAGCAGGATCTGGGATGAGGATCAGCAGGGTTTCCTGGGCAACTGAGCTCTGCTCTGCCTGCTATGGTCACGTCTCCCAGGCCCTGGGGCCGCCCTCAGCCCTCGCCCTCGCCCTTGCCCTTGCCACGCTCTCACCGAGTATCGATACTGTAGGAACAGAATTTTTCGGGTCATCACAAACCGGGCCTTCTTACTCTTCATCACTAGGTTCCCCAGCAGCCGGGAGAGGACCTCAGGCCTGTGAGGCACAGTCGAGGAGAGAGGGCAAAGCGTGATCTCCAGAGACCTCAGCAGGCCGGCCCCCACCCCCCAGGCTCTGTGCTAACCACCAGGAACCCAGTGCCTGCGCCGTAGCTGAGCCAGACCTGAATTCTCCCTCCCAGTGAACATGGAAACCAGAAGAGCCCCGCACCTCAACACAAGCTGACTTCCCCTCCCTGGCCTGGCCAACCAAGGAGACAGCCTCTCCACGGGAGCTCGAACTCACTGTCCCTGGAACCCCCACCTCCTGCCCTCCTGGCTCCTTACCCCAAGGTGGCCTCCACCAGTCCGGTTAGCAGAGCCTCCATGGCCCGGTCGGGCACACACTCCACCAGGCGCCAGCAGACCCGCTGCCAGAGGCAGTTGCCCTGGGTGAGGGCCATCAGCTGCGGCACCAGCACGCCCAGGATCTCCTCTGGGTGAAGCACATGGAAGACTGAGCTGGGGGCCCAAGGGCACCCAGGGTCTACGCTGGGGGTGGGGGTGCAGGCCCAGGTGACGGGACCATCCTCCCGCCCCCTCCAGGATGGCAGACATAAAGGACGGGGAGACACCTAGAAAGCACCAGGGGCTCCTCCCAGGACCGGAAACACTCACTCTGTCTCCCGTGGACACAGGCTTTCCCCAGCACCTGAGACAAGAAGGAGATGGAGCAGTCCCAGCCACCTGGCACGAGAAGGAAAGGGGGCAGTCAGGGGCAAGGCCACAAGGCGACTCCCGACTAGGTGCGAGCAGACCTCCTTTCTGGACAGGGCATCTCTGTGTCATAAAAACACCACTTGAGGGGATCCCTGGGTGGCGCAGCGGTTTGGCGCCTGCCTTTGGCCCAGGGCGCGATCCTGGAGACCCGGGATCGAATCCCACATCGGGCTCCCGGTGCATGGAGCCTGCTTCTCCCTCTGCCTATGTCTCTGCCTCTCTCTCTCTCTCTCTCTATCATAAATAAAAATTAAAAAAAAAAAAAAAAACACCACTTGGGCAGCCCCAGTGGCGCAGCGGTTTAGCGCCGCCTGCAGCCCAGGGCGTGATCCTGGAGACCCTGGATCGAGTCCCACGTCAGGCTCTCTGCATGGAGCCTGCTTCTCCCCCTGCCTGTGTCTCTGCCTCTCTTTCTCTCTGTCTCTATGAATAGATAAATAAAATCTTTAAAAAAAAAAAAAAAAACCACCACTCCTCTCCATCTAACTCCAACTGAAATCCCAGTAGCACTGTTTCTAACCAGAAGCACCCATCATAATTTCAAACAACCTTTCACCCTCCTGTTCGCCCAATCACCACGGAGTAGGGCCCAGTGTGGCAGCACAAGGAGGAGGCACCAAGGGGTGGCCCAGGCAGTCAGCCACATGGTGCGGATGGCAGGTGTCTGAGCCACCCACAGGGAGCGACAGGGCATGGGGACACGTGAGGATGGGTGCACCAGCTCCACCAGAAGCGCCAGGAGGACGGTGCCCAGCATGAGACAGGAGGTGCATGATGCAAACGCAGCATCTGCCACCTAAAGAGGGGGCATCCGAGGTCCTACAAGGACGAGGATGCAGCCGCCCAACGGAAGTACATGTAGTCTATATCTGCTCTCGACTCATTCAGAACATGCTGGGGGCTTCTCCCAGGACAGACGAGGAGGCAGGGCGGCCCGGCTAAGCCGAGACAGACCCTGTGGGCTCAGCAGACACAGGCGTGCCTTGCCTCAGCCTGCTCCCTCACCCGGTACAGTGGCAAGGCCTCCCTCGCGGGGTGGCCACGGGGGCCACGTGAGCACAAATGAAGGGCCTCGAGGAGCGCCCGCGCATGGCACCCACTGCACAGCCTCAGCTGCTGGGGCGCTGGACACACAGGGGCAAGACCCTGTGCTCACCCCACAGCAGGAGAGCAGGCGGTCCAGACACCAGGGCCCACCCGGGGCGGCGGAGACTGAGCGATGTGGTCTTTAAGCCGCGCGGTGAGCGGGTCGGCTTCACCAGCAGCCCAACCAGGAGCTAAAGGAATCAAGGTCATCTCCATCTCCAAGGTCAAGAGCCAAGAAGTGGGTGGCGCTCAGCCACTGTGACCAGTACAGGTCCCTACCAGCCCGCAGACCTGCCAATGGCATCACCCAGAGAATCCCTTCTCCAGAGGCCGTGAGAAGCCGGGGCGGAGGGGGGCAGTGGCCAGAGAAGAGGGCTAGAGGACAGCGCAGAGGGCCCCGCACCTCGCAGAGAGTCCACCACGGCCTGCAGCACCCGCAGGAGCTCCTCGCCGAGCAGAGGGAAGTAGTTCTGCGGAAGGAAGGCAGCCAGGTTCTCCCGCTGCAGGCGGTTGCCCAGGTGGTCGGGCAGGCCCACCAGCTTGGCGAGGAGCGTCTCCTGGAGCAGCGGGAAGGCCGGCTCGGCCAGCTGCCGACACTGGCCCTCCATCACGGCGGCCACCCTGCCGGCGCCCAGGAACCGGGCCAGCAGCTGTGCCATCTTCATCAGACGGAAGCTCGGGCTGAAGCAAGAGCAGGCGTCATGCGGGAGCCGGGAGCCCCCGTGGCTCCCCGGCCCACAGGAGGAGCCGTCATTACACCCGCGCGACCCACAGCTCACCCTGCACCTAAAACCAACGGTTTAAATCCCCCTGGCAGCCAGCCATTGCGGGGCGTGAGCACCTGCTGGGCCCAGGGAGCCGCCCTGCCGGGAGTCCCGTCTCCCGCTCCACACCAGCTCTGCGTGTATCTCAGCAACCGCAACCCAGCTGTGCCACGACCCTGGGCCACGTGCAGCCCCGCACGACACAGCGTCTGGGAACCGCCTCGAGGAAGGTGTCCCCATGAGTTTGCTGCAGGGCCGGGTGGCTCACTGCACAGCAGAGAGGCACGGAGGGAAGGAAGGGGCCCCACAAGGACGGCAAGGCCCACGGTCTAAGCCACCGGGATGGGAACGCTCCTGCTCCCTCCCTCCACCGACAGGGCAGGACCCAGGGCAAGGGCCTCTTCATTGCCAAGGAGATTAACACAACCCCCTTTAAATTCTCCGGTGCTCCTCCAGGGGCAAGTCCTACTCTCACCTTTCAGGACACCGAATTCCCGCAGCTACTGGAGAACCTACGGGCCCGCAATCCTTTGCATCACAAGTTACCACATAATCAGACTGAGCCTCACTCACCCAGCCGTGCCCTCGATGGACTCCATCAGCACCAGGAAGGCTTGGTCCGCAGGGCCCTCCAGAAAGAAGCTGGCCCACAGCGCCTCCAGCTGGCCGCCGGGCAGGAGCTCCAGCCAGGCGGGGCTCAGCCTGCCCACCAGACACCGGAGCAGGGCTGAGAAGTGCATCCTGGCAAACTCCTCCTGCTCCCCGGGAAGGGCCGGGTTCTCCGCTCCACGGAGATACCGCTTCAGGGACCCCAGCGTGGAAAGGATGCGGTCGCCATCCTCAGAGGAGGAAAGGGTGTGAACTGCTTCCCGGACAGTGAGCCGGACTGCAGAGACAGCTGGGTCCATCCTGGAGTCCACGGGAGATGCAGGGAAGAAGGCCACGGAGCCCCTGGCAACCACGCGGGACCCACTGTCAGACTAGAGTGGGTTCCACATTCTCTCAGAACCCCCACCCCCTGGCCCCTCTTGTTAGGCGGCTGGGGACCCCGTCTCTACGCACCGGCAAGATCCTCCCCTGCCAGCACCAGCCATTTCTACCAAGAGTTGGTTCCCAGCTCAGGGCCCTCCTGGTACCCTCTACAGTAGGTCCACTGAACCTCAGGGTCACAGCTGGGGTGCTGCTGGCATCTAGTGAGGGGGTGGGAGAGGCCCAGGATGCTGGTCAACGTCCCCTATGTGCAGGACAGCACCCACCACAGGGGATTATCCTAACTCCCGCGTCGGCGGCGCTAAGGCCGGGGACCCTGGACCCCCGCATCCTAGCTTCTCTCCCAGGAACCCGTGTCATCTGCAGTATTTCTGGTCAGGCCCCTCTGCGGGGTTCAGTACCACTAGGTAGGTGGTCTGTCCGCGCACCCGGCCACTAGCTAAGGCTGCATCGGGAGGGTGGGGAGCCTGGGGGACGGGAGGGGGACCTCGGGGCGGGCGGGGGACCTCGAGGCCGGGAGGGGGGGCCTCGGGGAAGGGGGGGGCCTGGGGGGGCCTAGGGGGGCCCGGGGGTCTCCGGGAGGCGCGCACCCGCTGGGTCCCGGAGTCTCCCCGCGCGGTCCCGGCCGCCCCGCCGCTGCTACCCCTCCGCCGATTCGGCACGGCCGCCGAGGCCCAGTTCCGCACGCGGTTCGCGGCCTAGACCGTGAGACCGCGGGGCACGAGCTCCCCACGCGCTGGCAGAGCTGCCGCTGAATTTTTTCGAGTCCGTGAGGCCGGTGCCCGCGGGCACATCGCGACGAATCTGCCGCGAAGCCCGGGACCCGGAAGAGGCATAGGGCGGGTGGCTGTGTCTGCGCCTGCGCCGGGCGTGGCGGGGCGGGGCCTCGGGTGGGCGGGGCCTAGGGTGGGCGGGGCCGCCAAAGCAGGGTGTCCCGGCCGCCCGTGGCCGCTTTCCGAGCGCAGCTCCGAGTCCCGGCGGCCGTGCGGGGGCGGCAGCGCCGCGGGCGGCCCGGGAAGGCCTCGCAGCGAGGCCTTCCCGTCCCGCCTCGGCTGCCCCCCGGGGAAGTCTGGGAAGATGCGTTCCCTCCGCGCGCGCTCCTTAAATGCTTGCTGCGTACAGCCAGCCTCTCCAGGCCCCCGCTCGCGGGTCAAGGGCTCGCTTGAAGGACAGGCGCCATCCGTCCGCGAAGTCGGCAGGGGCGTTAGGCAGGGGAGCCTGCGGCTCCGGCTGTTGAGGCTCGGGTCACGGCCTCGGGGCGCTGGGGGGTCCGGGGGGGCCCCGCGCTGGCCGGGAGCCCCCTGGAGACGCTCCGTCTTCCCCTGGTCTCCCTCTCACATCCCGTGCGCTCGCGCGTTCTCGCTCTCTTTCTCTCAAATGAATAAATAAATAGAATATTTTTTTAAAATGTAAGCAGAATGAGGAGCTCCGATTTGGACGTTGCGCCCGGCGTGCAGGCGGGAGGAAGGGAGCAGGGGCGGGGGCACAGGTGCAGGGCAGGGCTGGGCCAGGGGGGCCGCCCCTGCGAAGTGGGTGTGGGCTGCAACGGGTCGCGGGAGTCCAGGACGATTCCCTCCTGGGCCTCTGGGAATCCCCCCGAGTCAGCTCCTGGATTGGAGCCCGGCTCTGGAGCCCGGACAGCAGCTCCGTTGGGCCTGGATCCTTGTGTTGAAGCATGGGAGACACACCCCCAAAGCCTTTAGGTGTCCGAAAAGTGCCTTTGTTGTTTGCTCCAGGCAGCTTCACATTTGAGCTAGACAAACAATTTTAAGTGATAATAATTTTCACTCGGAGACGTTGAGGTTTGCTCCTGTATTTGGCAGCCAGCACTCAGTTCTTGGAGGAGAGTCTCCAGTCGTTCCCGCGTGACCCAGTTCTTCCTCCAATGACTCCTCAGCCATGGGGTTCTGACACATGATAAGTGGCCCTCTCTGGCACGCCGTCTTGAGACTGATGCCGTTGGCCGGGAACCCTTCCCAGACTACCTTCCCGTTTTCTCTTCTCTCACTCTGTGCTTGCTCTTCATTGGATTCCCCTTGAAGGCTATGCTCTCTCTCTCTCTTTCCCCTTTTTTTTTTTCCATCTCTCTGTCTTTTTGCCCTGCTTTCTGGGCAATTGCTTAAATCTTGCCTTTCAGCTTTCCTGATTTAATTATTTTCTTTTAAGATTTTGTTTATTTGTTTGAGAGAAAGAGAACAAACGGAGTAGCAGAGGGAGAGGGAGACACATGCTTCCCGTAGAGCAGGAGCCCGACGCCGGGCTCAATCCCAGGACCCTAGGATCGTGACCTGAGCAGAACACAAAGCCAGATGCTTAATCCTCTAAGCCACCCAGAAGCCCCTAATTATTTATTTGTTTGGAAAATCCTTATTCAGAGCCTTGGGGAGAAGCGGGGCCCTGGGACACCCTGACCTTGGACCTGTACTGGTTACGGGTCATTGGTTGTGGCCTGGGGACACTGACACACATCCTGCCCCTGCAGGTGGGGAGGCTCTCTCTGCACCTCCACCTGTCCTGCCCTTGACCTGTCACTCTCCCAGGCCACATTGGATCCGTGCATTCAATGCTGTCTCCCTCCCCTTGAGTTCTCCTTGGCCCTAGGTCCCTTCACCTTTGTCCTTTTGCTGTTGCTGGAGTCACACCTAGGAGAAGAGGAGCCATTCAAGACTGTGCACGGCCACTGCTATAACCAGTGACTGCTGGGTGTCCCAGGGCCACCCACTCCCCAAGGCCCCAGGGGAGGCCTCCTCCAGCTCCTGGCTTTCTCTGCACCACATCACCCTGGCTTCTGCCTGTCTTCCTACGGCCTTCTCCCCTGTGCCTCTGCTCTTCCGTCTTTTGTAAGGACACCCAAACTCAGCATGGTCTCATCTCAAGATCCTTAATGATATTTGCAAGAGCCCTTTTTTTCCAAATAAGCTTACATTCACAAGTACAGAGGAATTCACAGGGTTGGGATTTGGACCTACCATTTCGGGGACCACCATTCAGCCCATCATACAACCTATACCTCAAAGTAAATTAAGGTGGCTCCCAACCCCATTTCCCTTGCCATATCAAAGGGAGAGGGATGGGCCTCACAGGACCCTCTGTGCATGGCCCGCACCCTGGGCCCCACGGCACACTCGGCTCTGGGGGCTCCTTGGCCCTGGCCCGGCCCTGTCCAGCTTCAACTTCTGTCTGGTGGGAGCATGAGTCCATGTGCCCCTGCTAAAGCAATCACCTCCTTCTGCCTCTGAGCCAGCCAGACCAAGACTCACACTCAGAAGAATTGTTTTCCAGAGAAACTGTTTGCATCTGTTTTAAGCTTGTGTCCTTGGGAACCTCCATCTCTGCAGAGCTCACTGGCTGGAAAGCGAATGTTTTTCATTAAGGTGGCAGGAAGTACCTGAGTCCCAGCCAGTGTGGAAGAGGGAAAGGTCCACTGGCTAGCGGGGAGTGGGGGGGGAGGGAGCAGCGCAAAGCAAGCTGCCTTCTCCTGCCGTCAGGGCCGCTCTCCGTGTGTCCTCAGGATGGGCTGCCTGCGGAGGAAGACCCTGTGTCTCTTCCTTATTTTCGCGCCTGTATATCTGCATGGGGCTTTGTCACAGGAAGCCAGCCCTGCAGGTCAGAGAAAACCATTTTTCGAGAGGCTCCGAAGGCTAGAAGAGCAGGTGAGTATACCCACCACTTGGGGCAGTTGTGTGTGTTAAATTCGACAACCCATGCAGAAACGGCGTGATGAGCGCCCACGCTCTGGGGACACAAACATGAAGTGTGGGGTGATGCTACTGTCACCTACAGTTGGCAGCCAGCTGGGCTCTGCTATGAAGTCAAACCAACCGACAGTGAGGACTGGCTGGGAGGCGGGGTGGAAGGGCCGGAGTGCCCCAGAGGGGTGCTGGGTGTGCTGGGCGTGGGGCGGGAGGCCTCAGGCCCACGGGGCTCTCTGCAGGCGCTCCCCACTTTGATCCCCACAAACCACTCACAGAGCCCACCCTGCCCTACATCCACTCAGGGGCGAGGGTCACGGGCGAGGCCGTGGCGGGGGGTGGGGGGGCGCCGCAAGCCCTCAGCCCACAGAGTGCAGCCCAGGGACCTTGGGTTCCTCGCCCACATCTCTGAGCGAGGCCTCCGTGGGCTGGTTGTGGTAATGTGCCTGGCCCTCACGCAGCTGCCTGCAGGTCAAATCCATGGGGATCACGGCCGGTGCATGGGCAGGAAGGCTTGTCCTGCGTCCTCCCCAGCCTTCAGCCCCTGTGCCTGTTGTCTCCTCTCTACAGTTCCGGAGGTTCCAAGAGGTGACCTTAACACACCTGCAAGGCCTTGCCAGTAACTACAACCTGTCCTACAACATTGACACTCGGTTCCAGAGCCTGGCCCAGGACACCCAAGCGGTGGCTCTGGCGGTGAACCAGTCACAGGCCGCCCTGCAGAGTGACCTGAGCCACCTCAAGACCTGGATGCAGAAGACACGGCGCAGAAGCCGGAAGGTGGACTCCAGGCTGCTGGCCTTGGGTGCCGCCCTGAGTGAGAGGGACAGGCAGCATACCCAGGAGGGGAAGGAGCGGGAGGCACAGAGGGACGCCCTCTCCAGCCTGGCTCTGGACCTGAGGGCCCTGCAGGACGCGCTGGCTCGCCTCACACACCTTGTGCAGGGCCAGGGTGCCAGGCTGGCTGCTCTCGAGGGGCGGCTGCAGGTGGCTGGCCCTGCCACTGTTGCCCCGGGGCTGGCCCCAGCACAGCCCCCCACCCTGCCTGGGCACCCAAGCCCCAGCTCCCCAAGGCTGCAGAGGGGAAGGCAGGTGCTCAGAGGTTCACCTGTGACTGGGGACCCACCTCAGGACTTCACTGGCCATCCGCAGGGGACACGGGCACCTCCTGGCCCAAGCAGCCAGTGGGCATGGCCCCCCGAGAGCCCAGGAGAGAGTAAGTACCACGGCCTGCCCTTACCCCGTTGGCCTCCCCTCTCCCCATTCGGGCCTCCTTGGGCCTCTGCTCCCCTCTGAACAGCCTTCCCCCTGGAGCTGTGTGGAGAGGACACTGGCTTCACAGCCCCATGTACCCCCAGAAGGAAGAGGGGCCATGCAGGTCATGGCCCGGCATTGGGAGTGGATGTGTGCGTACGGCTGAGGTGCCACAGGGGCGGAGCAGTAGATGACCCCTCCGACTTGGTGGTCACTTGCGTCAGGGCTGGTGGGATATTACTACGTCCTCAACCGTCACCAGCACGAGCCTCCCAGGCAGGCCTGGACCTCAGCCGCACCCCGTGGGGCTTGTGCTGAGAGTGGAGGCCCCGCTGCGAAGCTGACTCTGCTTTGCCATCTCGTATCTCCCAGGACAGGGTCTCTGGCTGCAGCCCTCCTGACATTTGGGGCCAGTGCGGGTGTCCCCAGTGCGGTGGGGGTTTAGCAGCAGCCCCTGCCTCTATGCGCGCAAGGCCAATCCATCTTTAACCTGCGTTTTAACTAGGTTGCTTCTGTGTCTGGCTCAGCAGCTCTAGGGCCCCACTAATCTGAAGAATGGTTTCCCTCCACCCGGGTGGCTCTGGTGGCCTCACCAGTGAGGCAGGGCTGACCACCTGGCCTGTGAGGAACCACCAGGGCTCCCAGGATCCCAGGAAAGATTTGGGGGTCCCCAAAACTCTGACAACCAGAACTACAGATATTTCTAGATGTCTTCAAGGGGGGGGGTTGATCATCTCTGGTGGCATCTGCCCTAAGTTATCATCATATCATCATCATCATCATCATCATCATCATCATCATCATCATTTTAGAGAGAGAAAGAAAGCAAGCAGGGGAAGGGGCAAAGGGAGAGAGAATCTCAAGCAGGTTTCCCGCTGAGCACAGAGCCCGACATGGGGCTCCATCCCATGACCCTGAGATCATGACCTGAACTGAAACAAGAGCTGGATGCTCAACCAGTGGAGCCCCTGTAGGTGCCCCCTGCCCTGCATTAGGACAGGGGTCCCTGAGGTGAAGACAGGGGCTGGGGGCTGCCCACAGAACACTCTCCATCCTTGAGTCCAGTGGGCAAGCGGGTTAGAAATGTAGGTCCCCAGCCTGCCATTCGGAACCTGGGACCAGGTGCAGCACCCCCAGGCCCCCCAGCCCATAGACCCTCTGTCAGGCAGACCTGGAGGGGGCTGGCCCCAAAGACATCCACATCCTGATCCCTGGACCCTGTGGGTACCCTCACATGGCAAGGGGACTCTCCAGCCACGAGCACAGGTGCTGAGATGGAAGGGGATCTGGGATTAACACTGGGTCCTTGTAGAAGAGGCAGGGAAGTCAGGGTCCAAGGAGCTGTGCCCTGGGATGGAGGGAGAGGGATGAAGACGCAGGAGGGGCTGTGAGCCACGGAGCGAGGGTGTCTGTGGAAGGTGGAAGGGAGGGAAGGATTCTCCCTGGGGCCTCGGGAGGGAACCAGCCCTGCCTGCCCCTTGATTTTATTCAGGGGCCCCGTGTCTGCCTTCGGACCTCCAGGAACAGGAGATACTGTACTTGTGTGGTTTGGGGCCTGCAAGCTTGTGGGGCTTCTCACAGAGGCTCGCTCCCGCCGAGGCTGTAAGACTGCCCTGGCTCCCAGTCTTCCCACCCGGAAGATGAGCTGATGGTGCACCAAGGACCGTGGGGACCCTGCATGGCCAGCCCCACGCTCTGTGCTGATGCAGGTCAACCACGGGCTCTGAAGCCCACGGCCCAGAGCAAGGGCAGTCCTGTGGCGTGGATGCTCGTGCCTCTGCATAGTGCCAGGCCAACTGTCCCCTCTGTTGCAGCCTGTGACGCGGGCCCTGTGCTGGTCTTCCCAAACGCCTCCACCCAGAACGTCGCCTTCCTCAGCCCCAGCTTTGCCTCGGGCCTGCGAGCCCTGTCTGTGTGCAGCTGGGTGCGCATGGCCTCAGGCCACTTGGGCACCCTGCTCTCCTATGCCACCGAGGAGAATGACAACAAGCTCGTGCTGCACGGCAGGGACTCCCTGGTCCCTGGCTCCATCCACTTTGTGATTGGAGACCCAGCCTTCAGGGAGCTGCCCCTGCAGCCACTGTTGGACGGCCGGTGGCACCACGTGTGTATCATCTGGACATCCACCCTGGGCAGGTACTGGGTCCACGTGGACCGCAGGCTAGTGGCCATGGGCTCCCGCTTCAGGGAGGGCTACGAGATCCCTCCAGGAGGGTCCCTTGTGCTGGGCCAGGAGCAAGACAACATGGGGGGCGGCTTTGACAGCTCTGAGGCCTTCGTGGGGAGCATGGCAGGCCTGGCCATATGGGACCGGGCGCTGGTCCCTGGGGAGGTCGCAAAACTTGCCACTGGGAGGGAGGTCCCAGGGGGCGCCATCCTGACACTGGCCGATGCCCAGTGGGTAGGCGGATTCGTGCAGTGGGCGAACTGCAGCTGCCTGGAGCTGTGTCCCTGAGGCCTGGGCACGCCCGTTCTGTCACGCTCTGGGCCGGACAGGAGCAGCCTCAGCAGCACTCAGCACCCTGACCCCCGCACAGCCCCTAGAGGGCCCCTCTGCAACTGGGGAGGGGACCGGGCAATGCGGGAAGGGAATGGGCAACAGGTGGAGTGGGGCCGGGCGAGGACACAGGCACTGCCGCGTGGAGTCCTACGGGCTGTACAATCATTCAGGCAGGGAGCGCAGGACAACATTGGGGCCTCTCATCTGGGCTGCGTTTGCAGCAGAGAACCCCATTTTCCTGGAAACCATGCGGGTGCATTTGAGCTGCCGTGGCCCTCCCCCGGGTGGCTTGTGAAAGTGTCCCCCTTGCTCTCACATCCCTCAGGAAAGGGACCGGGAATCCATTTCCTGCCCCCAAAGCTACCACGCCCTTGGCTGGGTGCCCTGGGGGTTCCCCTGGGGGTTCCCACAGTGGCTCAGGAGCAAGCTATTCAGAAACAAACATGGCCAGGGGGGCAGTGCCCTCAGCTGCCCCGCGGGAGCACCACTGGAGCACACGCCCTAAGGCCCACCCGTGAGACCCTACAGCGCACGTGTTAGCAAATTTACCAAGTTGTGCAACCATCATCACAATCCAGTTTTAGAGTGTTTCTGTGTCCCCCCTACCAGTCATACCTGTTAGGGGCCGCTGCTGTGCCCCCAGCTCCGGCGACCCCTGACGGCTCTCTGGGCTGAATGGCCTGTTCTGGGCCTTGGACGGTTCACCTAATGGAGTCACGTGCTGTGGTCTCATGGCGCTTCATCCCTGGTGGGTATTTGGGTTGCTTCCAGTCTCTGGCTTTTGTGAATAAAGCTGCTCTGAGCATGCTCGTTGCAGCCCCTTGTGTAGACACAGGCTCATTTCCCTTGGGGTACCTGGGAGCCGACTTTCTGGGCCCTGTGGTGCAACACCTGTCTGGACTCTCAAGGAAACCGCCAAACTGGTTTCCAGAGCCGCTGCCTCCCACCAGCCAGTGTGAGCACACCTGCTTGGCTGCGGCCTTGCCAACACTACACGTCGTCAGTGTGACATGTATTTTGGCAAATCCGCAAGGTGGCCCGTAAAAGAACAGGCACCGACAACAGGCGCTAAGTTTCGGGGCGGTGAACAGCTGCGGTTTCGGGGACTCCCAAGGAAGAACCAAACACAAGCTCACGGGATCAGGAAGGAATGGGGGCAGGCAGGACAAGAGGGTATTCGGGCGGGGGGAGGGGGCAGTCACGGAGTTCAGAAATAGGCTCAGTTCTTAGGACTTCCCCCTCTTTATTTTTCAATTTATTTTTATTTTTAAGGACTCCCCACACCCAACGTGGGGCCTGAACTCACAACCCCAAGATCGTCACATGCTCCACTGACTGAGCCAGCCAAGTGCCCTGAGAACCCGCCCCCCATTTTATTTTTTTAAAGATTTATTTCTGTATTTATTAGAGAGAGAGCGAGGGCGTGTACAAGGAGCCTGGGGAAGGGCAGAGGGAGAGAAGAGTCTCAGAATCTCCAGCGGACTCCCGGCAGAGCGCCCCACATTTGGGGGTGGGGGTGGGGAGGAGAGGGCCCTTGATCATCTGACCCTGAGATCACAACCTGAGCTGAAATCAAGGATCAGAGAGGACACTTAGCCAACTGAGCCACCCAGGAGCCCCTCCTCCCCTCTTCAAAATCCAGAAGACAAAAAAAAAAAAAAATCCAGAAGACAAGCAAGAAAAGCCCCCCACCCCGGCCTGCCCAGCCCTGGTCCTGGTTTCAGCCCTGCAGCTGCCCCATTGGGCAAGTGCTCTAAAGGGCCCCCTCGGTCTCTTGGTGCCTTCCCATCTCTGTAGAGCTGTGGCCCCAGCAATCCGGAGCCTCCCCCGACATGTATCCATGAGTCAAGATCAGAGGAGGCATTCTAGAACTGAAACCCCCCTCGGTGGCCCCATGAATGCTCCCTGAATCATGGACTTCTGCTTCCTCCTGCACTTCCCCAGGGCACGTGCACCCTCTTGGCTCTTCTTTCCTGGGCACCTGGGCCTTTCTCTGGAGCTCTTCTCTGTCCTACTCTGCAGTTGAGGAGGGAGGGATGAAGTGCTTCTGTGGGGAACACTGGTAATCCGACTATTTCTGCAGGGCCAGCAGGATCCCCAACATAAAACGACCATACAGGGCATCATTTCTGACCCCTCCCCTTCTTTGGGGTGCTTATAGCACCTGGGCAACCCACGATGGCCCCCCATTCATAGCAGGATTCCCCTACAAGTCCACAGACCCTAAAGCCACAGGAACATGGCAGAGACTACATTGCTGTGGACTGCCCACATCCACACTCAGGAAGCTTCATGGGGCGTGGGATTCCAGGAGGGCAGCACAGCCTGGGGATAGGCCTGGAGTCAGGGCTGAGAGCTTAAACTTAAGGGGGGCTCTGGTCACTGAGACTTTGGAGCCTGGGCTCTGTCCAGCCCGACCAGGGAAGCCATGCAGGGTTTGAAGCAGGGCAGTCTGTGAACACGAATCTCATGCGATCGGCCGTTCCTATGGGGTCAGTGACAAAGTCCTCCCCTGTGCACGAGCCACCTGTCATCCATCAAATCCCACCTATGCCCTGAGTCTGTTGTGTTTCTGGATAAGGAAGACAAAATGAAAAAAAAAAAAAAAAAGGAAGACAAAATGACTCAGAGATGCCCTTCTCATGGGGGCCGAGGCCTGACCCCCATAGAGCTGCACTGGTTTCTCCTTTCCCCGCCCTGCCCATTCGTCCTCTAGAAGGGCCACTGGTCCAGCAGGCGTACAAGTTCATGCACCGCACAGTGCTGGCCTTTGGGACCAGCCCGGCCCTGCCTGGCCATAGAGCTGCCCCCCAACTCCGGCAGGACTCCTTCATCCCACGGACTGTCCTCTCTTCCCTGTCACCCTGCTGGGCACTTCTGCCTGCCTGGACGTCTTCACAGGAACCCCATCATCCACTCCGCTCCGTGAAACACACCCAGTCCCCACAGGGCCTGCTCCTCAGGTGCGCACCAGCCCCCGAGCACCGGCCCACAATCTAGGCTCTCTCGTCCATCACTACAAAGGGCGAAACCAGATGACACTTATGAGAAAACAACGTTTTCGAAAGAAGGTTGTTTTTAGAATTTTCCAAACAGCATTGCACAGTATTTGGGAAAATTCCACACCCTGCCAGACTTCTCTTATTTTTAGTTTTAGTTTTGTTTCTGAGTTATGTGGGGGGAGGGGCTCCGTTGTCTTCTCAGCCTCAGAGCCTCCAGAAAACTTTTAAAAATCGCTTCCTTTTCTAAAGTTTCAAACCAAAAATAGTAGTTGCAAGACGGATGCACTGCAGGTCATAGGTGTTTGGCCTGGACTGCCGGGGTCAGCCTTCGACCACATCTCCTCCCCTCTGGCGCTGGCCACCTGTCCTGATGGCCAAGCTGCACACATCACAGCCCATCCACCTGCACCTGCCGGGTGTCTCCTGAGAATAGGGACCTGTGCTGCATGACCCCAAGACATGCTGGGCCTTGGGCCATCCTACCACCCGGCGCGGGCATGCCCAAGCTCTGCAGGTTGTCCCAGGGACGCCAGGAGCCTTCCGGTGTCCTGTCCCTTCAGTCCGGTGCAGAGGGGCAGCCCCCGCCCTTGGCCCTTGGAGGCCCAGCAGTTTAGCAGCTGTCCCTTGGGCTGGGTGCGTGACAGCCACGCAGCTTCTGCAGCGATGGGCCAGGAGCCCCGTGTCCTCGGCACAAGGGCCCGGGACGCCCCGGGGGTGCTGAGCCTGAGCCCGGCTCGGGGGGCGTCCGCTGGCCCCCCAAGATTTCTTTCCTTTCCTCTGATAGGGAACCTGCAGGGGGACGCCGAGGCCGCGCACCGGGTCCGCGAGCAGCAGGCCCGCCCCGGCTGCAGCGCGCGGGGTGCTCGTTCCTCCGCGGTGGCGGGGCAGTCAGGGGTCCGCCCGTCCCACCTCCCGCCGATCAGGCGGCCGGCACCCGCTCCAGGGGGGCTCCCTGCCCGCCCTCCTCCCCGTTCCTCCTGTCCCGTCCGCCCGGACCCCGACTCCCCTCTCCGGTCCCGCCGTGATCCGTTCTCGGAGACTAGGCCCCCGCAGGTCACCCGAGCGAGGGGCCGCCGAGTCCCTTCCGCCCCAGGCAGCGCCGGGCGCCAGACTACAACTCCCAGGAGGCGCCGCGCGCGCGTACCTGCGCGGCCGCCGTCTTGCGTCACGTGGACGGGCCTCGCAGGTCACGTGGCGGCGGCGAGGGTCACGAGGACAAACACGGGGTCGCCGTGCTCGCCGGGCGGGTCGGGCCGCCGCGGGCCATGGCCAACGTGTCTAAGAAGGTGTCGTGGTCCGGCCGCGACCTGGACGACGACGAGGCGGCGCCGCTGCTGCGGAGGACGGCGCGGCCCGGGGCGCCGGCCGGCGAGAGCGCGCCGCTGCTGAACGGGGCCGGGCCGGCGGCCGCCCGCCAGGTGAGGCCCGGCCGCCCCGGGGAGCCCGCGGTCAGCCTCGCCGCCGCCGGGAGCGGCCTCGCGGTGCGGGCCTGGGCCGGGCCTGCCGTCCGCTCCGACCCGCGGCGCCCGGCTCTGCGGCGATCGTGCCCCGGAGGCGGGGGATGGGCCCTGGGCCGTGCCTGGTGGGGTCCGAGCGGCGGGCCGCGCTCGCCCCCGCCCTGCCCTGGGCCTGGCCCTGCCGAGGTCTCTGCTGCTCCGCGGGGCCGGCCCCGGGCGGTCGGGGGAGTCACAGGCGTTTGCTCCCACGTTCCTTCCGCGATTAGTTGAAATTGGAGCGTGAGGGCGGCCGGGGCGTGCGAGCAACAAGTCAGGGGGTCGCGGCGTGTCCCCGGCGGCGGGGCGGTCGGCGTGTCAGCGAGTGTATGTGGGTCGTGTTAATTTTGAGTTAGAGCTATTTTTATCCCTCGCCGGGTCTCGGTCTCCTTTTGCTCTTTTCGTTCCTGTCTTGTTTAAACGTTAGAACAGCCTTTAAAAAATAGGAAGGATGCCAGCTTGAGGCTATTTCTGGGGGGGCTTATCCTGAGCTTCCCCATCCTGTCGAAATGCATCAGAGACTGACAGCCCATGTCGGTCCTTTGAGGGAGATCTCATGCCGAAATGGTTTCCGCATCCACATGAGCAGGGATCCAATCTGGAGGGAGACCTTGGGAGCGCTGTTACTTTCTCCTTGGAACATTATTGTTTTCCTTTTATTCTTTTATTTTTTAAAATATTTATTTATTTATTCATGATAGACATAGAGAGAAAGAGAGAGGCAGAGACACAGGAGGAGGGAGAAGCAGGCTCCATGCTGGGACTCCAGGATCGGGCCCTGGGCTGAAGGCAGGCGCTAAACCACTGAGCCACCCAGGGATCCCCTCCCCTCTTAAACGGTTTTTTAAAATATATTATGCACCTACTGTGCCTGGCTGCGTGCAGTTTGCCTGGAACACAGTTGCAGAAGCAGCTTCATTCCTACTGGCTGTGGGCTCATGGAGAAGCATGCCTGGCGCTCTGTGAACACTGTGTGCAGGGCTCCCAGGGCAGCGGCTTGGAGAGTGCAAGATCCACAGGTGGGCCAAGAGGTGGGAATGGATGGAGAATGTGTTTGGGGGACCCTCTGTGGGTTTGGAAAGTAGATCGG